TAGTGTGGTTATGAAGAGGTTGTCCAGAGAAGTTGTGGATGCCCCATGTCTGTGTGTTGAAAGTCAGAAGCAGCTTTGAGCAACCTCACACAGTGAAAGGTGCTCCTGCCCATAGCAGAGTCTTTGGACTACATGATCTTTAAAGGTCCCTTCCAACCCAAACCATTCTATGATTCTATGATAAACTGTAAACATTTTAGATTTTGTGATTTACTTCCATGCTGTAGAATAGAAAATTTTAAAAAATGGATAATATTTTCCCTTCCCTATTAATGTTCTTTACAAGATCATAATGTGCTTGTTTTGATGGTGATTAGGATATAAACCAGTCACAAACAAGCAAAATCCCATAATGGACCTGCACTCTGGATCCTCCTTAGTTATACAGATGCTCATCTCTAGAAATACTAACTTTTCCATAAAGATTGACACATACACACACCATTTACTAAGGCCAAACAGCAAAGTGGTTTTATGCCTGGGAAGAAAACTTTCAAATACAAAGCCTATAAATAGATTATATGTTGCCTTTCTGGCTCAGCAAATAGCTTGAAAAAGTGCTCTCAGGAGACATTAATTTGCAGTGTCCCCCCCTTTATTTCACTGAGACTTTAATTCTGCAGTCTAAATTTAATACTTCATTGTCATTATGGGAATTGCCACCATGAGGGAAGCAAAGGCACTTTCTGCATTTCTATAAGCATCAGGAAATAAATCTGTATGGAAAGGAAACATCTCCTCATGTGCAGAAGGAAACACGAGGTTACTTGACATGAAAAGTATCAGAACTAGTGCAATGACCAGTACACAAGCCACGAAGACGCCTGGATAGAGTTGGATATGACAAAGTAGAAAGCTGCATTGGATATATCCTGCAGTAGCTGACATGCACACTGCTGTCCCAGGATCTGGGACACTGTGCTTGCAGCAGCCAGCGAGGAGATGGCTCAGGAGCATCTCAGCATGGATGAATCTCAAATAAAACTTTTCCAGCCCTTACTGACACGCTTGTTTCTGGTTCCTGAGTAGTTTGATTCCAAGGCCCTTTTGTATTAACAGTAAATCTGAAAGTGCAAAATGAAGCATGTGGCTCCATGGCTCACAGCCAGAGCCCACTCCAGCAAAGTGAGAGCAGATGCAACCCCTAATTCCAGAGACACTTGAGTGTGAGAAATGTTTTGCTATTCTTCCAGCCATTGCTGGAGGTAGGACAACCTCCCCGAGTAATAAACAGCCAGAAAACATCAAGCTTTAGGGCTGTTCCAACATTATCCTATAAACACCTATATTTCATGCAAATATCCACAGACCCTTTTACTCCAAAGGCAATCACTTTTGGGAAAGTCTCTCTTTTTTTTTGGACCTGTTTGAACTGTGTTTAACAACACAGAGCTCTAAGTCTTCCTCAGATGCATTGGGCTTTGAGGGGACGCAGCTAGGAGGGACTGATGGAGTCCATGCACTAACGTTTCTCCTACAGGAGAATAAACCAGTGGGGAAAAATACAGAGAGAGGAGGAAAAAAAGAGGCAAGCTATAATTGAAATATAAGGTAGTAAATTTTAAAAAGAAATGATACACCCTCATGAGCCACAAAGCTACTGCACATTTGAACAACATGGATTCCTTCATAAATAATTGGTAGTGTAGCAGCCTTGCTGAAGATGGAACTTCTGTTGTTTTTTTCCCCCTCTGCACACCACAAACATGGCCCGGCAGAAGTATTTTCAAGAACAAACATGCGTAGAAGTACTTATGCTCTGTGTTGCTATACCCAACCCCCATAAATTTATGCTCATGTAATTACTGTTCTCTGTTTGTCTACTGATAGGGAGTTAAAAATACCACCCCTCCCCCCCCCAATTAGAACTGGTTTCTATTTTTTGTTAAATCCCTGCAGTTGATATTGAAGAAAATGTTGTGCTGAGCCACATGAGATCTCTCTTGCCTGCACTAGTCAAGACAGAAGACTGCAACAACACCAAAAAAAAAATCTCACCAAAAGCATGGCATGTACAAATCAAGACAAATTTGACTGTGTTATGAAGCCATCAATCCTGTATTCTCTTTCCTTTCTTCATCTGATGCTTGGTATTTCTACAGTGGGAATAGATTTGTGCCCGGACCTATTCTGTCAGAACTTGCATTCAGGCAAAATGTAAAATTTGTCTGCAATATCCAAATTCTTAATGTGTTTTCCAAGGTGTCCATCACTTACAAGGAATTACTTATCATTGATGTAGCACTTATTTTGATAGTAGAAATATGGACATCATCCCATGAATAATCTTGTGAGTCACATGAAATTAATCTAGTACCAAATAAACAACAACAGTGAATTCTCAGCTTATATTCAGGATGTAAAATCTTTGTCACACGAGTCATCACACAAATACCATATTTGCCATTAGGGCCTCTGAGACTCTATTTTTAAAAGCTTTGTGGAAGGAACTGTCTGGAAACATAAGGTCAACTTCTCCCCAAGCAAAACTAAATGAGACTGAGTATCTCAGTGCCTGTTTGAGATGGGAAAGTCAGGACATGCACACAATTTCCCCTTCACTTCTGATAGGCTTCTTTGAGCAAATAACATAGCACAAAAACCAATGACACGGAGAAACAGCTCATATGTGAGACCAGGTGAAGCTTCAACTGGCAGCCAGTGAAGACAGATATTGCATTACAAAAAAAAGAACAGATGCAACCATCCTAATGTCATCTCCCACGTTTTGAGCAGCAGAGAAAATACCGAATGCAAACATGACACTATCCACTCAATGATGAGCTTGGTTCATCACTTACTGGCCAGGATAAGCAGATGAAGAGTTTGGCTAAGGACTAAGAAGCAGATTTATTTTTTTTTAGATATTGAAAAGCCAAGACATAATCAAGGTCCCAGAAGGATTTTCAAAAGCAATTAGGAGCCCAAGTTCTGTTAGTCCATTGGTCATTCTGAAAATCCTGCATAGTAGCAAATTAACTGTCTCATTGGACATCAAAATACCTCTGTGTTCTTGTGCTGCTTCTGCTAGGGATGGTCACCCTTGATTTCAGCAGGGTAAAGTCTCTTTTATGAAAAGGTGAGCAAGTTCTTTCCATTCTTTAGTTCACCTAGCTCCCTTCCAAAAGCAAAATTTTATCCTTCTCTTGTTTAATGAATGTGTTGCTGCCTCATAAACTATTTTAACTGAAATTATAAGATCAGCACTCAATCCCCAGTCCATGGTTGTGCAGGTCTTTGCCGTACAGAGAACAGTTTGCTTTCATCTGGTTGAGGTTTATTTGCCAAAGATTTTAATGCCTCTCTGATCTGATAGTGCAGATTTGCAGTGTCTTTCTCTGGGTAGAAATCCCTCTTGGGATTGACTCAAAGATTGATGACTCAAAGTTTGCAGCATCCATCCCAGTCCCATCGGGTGGTGGTGGGCCAAATGCTGCCTTCTCTCTTTACACATCTCTACTGATAGGAATCATGCTGCCTGTGTGGGATTTTGGGACTGATGTTTGTATACATTTCATTCTCAGAAACATGATACCAATCTATTGCACACAGACTGCAGAAGAATTGCACAGGTTTTTTTTTTTTTTTATAGAAGAAAATGTTCCCTCAATGTGATAAATACTGAACACGACTTTTGCTCTGGCTGCAAATAGCAAACTACTTATTCATCTACTATTTAAGTACCTGTTGGTTTTGTCATAAAGTGAAACTTTTGAGCAAGATCATATTGCACGGGAAGTGGCTTCCTGAATCCTTAAATATTAATCCCCAAGTAAAAACAGACTGAAGGTAGTCCCAGGGTCACTTTAATTAAAGTCTGAGCTGCTGCGTCCCACTGTCTTGTATCCCACATTAAATGTTCCTCGCCTTGTCTTTGTGCCAACACCAACATTTTCAGAGTCTCTGGGTGACCTTGGCAGGAGGACGGGGATGTGAACTGGGAGGGACTCATTCCTGGGGGGACACAGGGTCCATTACCAGTCAATGGGAGCAGGGACAAGGCTGGAAAACATGGCCAGCTCTGCAGGGAGAGGGTTTGTCAAGGACCTGTGGGTCTTAAGATGGTCAGATGATGGAAAGTGTTAAGGGGGCAATTGTGAACCGAAAGAAGCCCCTGGAAAGGAAAAAAATGTGGCAACGAGGGGTGGTAAAGAGTCAAGGTGGAGCAGAAAGGGTGGAAGGCCACAGGGGTCCATGTAAGAAACAGGGATGTGAAAGGAAGGACAGGAGCAGGAGCGGCAGGCGGGAAGCCGCAGGAAGGGAAGTGAGGAGATAGACCGGGGCTCGAGTGTGCGGCACAGGGGGGCAAGAGACCAAATGTGCGGAGCGGGGAGCTGAGACGAGAGGCACTTGGGAGAGAGCGAGTGATGTGAGATGCGCTGCCTCTGGTCCAGCGCCTGGTACTGCCGGCACCGGCACTGGCACCGGCGGCGCTCGGCGAAGGAGCAAAGGACGCGGAGCAAAGAACACGGTCCCGCCCCGTGTGCCCGGCGGGGCGGTCCCGGGGGGCGGGCGCTGGCCCGACCCTGGCGCTCCTCGGCCGCCGGGGAACCCGCGCTGGAGAAGGGGCCTCCGCTGCCCTCGGGCATCGCGCCCTGTCCCGGCAGAGGTTGCGGGGCGGCCGCTCTAGGGAGGGACCCCCCGTACCGCTCCCGGGGACCGCAACGCGCCGCCACCGGGGCTCCCGAGGCTCGGCGCTACCCCGGGGAGGGGACGCGGCGCACGGCCCCAGCACTGCCGCCTGCCCGGCGGGCACATCGCCAGGAGGCGGAGGCGACGCTGGCGCCGCCGCTGCCGGGGCCGAGCGAGGCCGAGCGCTCCCGCCCGGCAGCGGCCCCGGTCCCCGCTGCCCGCCCGCCCCTCTCCGCCTGCCCGGGGCGGGCCCGGGGCCGCCTCCTCCCGCTCCCCGCAGCGCATTCACCGCGGGGGCCCCGCTCCAGTGACGTCAGCGCTGCCTAAAAAAGCGCCCCGGCAGGCAGGCAGGGCAGCCGGCAGGGCGGGCAGCGGCCGCGGCAGCGGCCACAGCAGCAGCAGCAGCAGCAGCAGCAGCAGCAGCAGCAGCAGCAGCAGCAGCAGCAGCAGCAGCAGCAGCAGCAGCAGCGACAATAGCGACAATAGCGACAATAGCGACAATAGCGACAATAGCGACAATAGCGACAATAGCAGCAGCCGCTCGCGCCCCACCGCCGACATGGTGTCCCCCGTCACCGTGGTGAGTGCGGGCCGCGCGGCGGGCGGGGGGAGCGGGACCCGCGCCCCTTCCCACGGCCACCCTCCCGAGAATCGATGCCCTCCCTCCTCGCCGGTGCTGCCTTCCCACCCGCTCCCCGAGGCGCTGCCCCCGAGAGCGGCAGGTGCTCAGATCCGCTCCGCTCCCGCCGCCGGGAGTGCGACCATCGCCCGCGACCCCCCCCGTCCCCCCTTGCCCCGGCCCTCCCCCGGCAGCTGTTGCTCCAGCGATGCGCCTGCACGGGCAGCTCTCCCTCGCTTCCTCCTCTTGTCACTTACGTTTTTATAAACATCTGTGATGTATCTGCTCTATGTGGACTGCATCTGTTCAGAGCGGCGCTGCCCCAGCTGCCCCGGGCTTGCGCCGCGGCAGCGCCCGGGAGCATCCTCCTGCTCCCGCGGCCTCCCTTGCTCTAGCAGGCATCTCCGCCTCACCATCCGGAGATGGCTTTGCTGTCCAGGTGATGGCTTGGGCTGAGGCTCCTGTTGACCACCATGTCGGGCAGACCTTACCACAGGCTGGATGACTTCCCGCTGAGACCTCTGGCTTTGCAAGCCAGTCTGGCACTTCCACCACCTAACGACATGAGACAGGGATGGTGTCACCTGCCTGTTTCATAGGGGAGTCACAATGCTTAATTAACGTAACCAGCAATAAGGTAGCACCTCACTGCTGTCCTGTCAGTTGGTGATGTGTGCAGCAGCACAGCTGGATTGATGGAGCAAAGCTGGTAACTGAAGTAGCCGTGGCTTGTGCCAGCTATACTAGGTCCTGGCCCTGCAGGGGAACAGGGGCTGTTTCAATGCTAAAAGAACAGCCAGAACAGCAGAGAAGCTGCACTGTTAGACATGCTGCTTTGCATGTTCCTCTTTCTAGAAAGCAAGGCATTTGTTGGAATAGCCCAGCAGACCAACACATGCTGTAAGAATAGCTAACTGTTGGTGGGAAAGTTGCCTGGTGCTTCGCTGCAGCACTGAACACCTACTGCTGCTATCCTGGTTCCCTGTCTATCCATTATTATCCTGTTTTGAAATATTTTGGTTAACGGCCAGGCCATTGCATGCTCTCTTGCAGGTAGAAATTTTGTCCTTTCCCTGTTCTTAACTCACGGAGCTGGGGTTCAAAACTTTTAAATTGCTTTGCCAGTTCTGCAGAGCAGCCTGTATTGTCTGATACTTCAGATGAATGTTCCCCCAGTTATTAACATGTACCTGCTAAGTTCATCAGCAGCCTGGGGATGACTTTTATCTCTAGAGACAGAGGGAAGTAGCTTGGAAATTATACCATTGTAGTGCCAATTTTTTTTTTTTTTGTGATTTTTGAAAACAGCTAAAGAGATTTGGTATCTGTGCTTCTGTGCCATAAGCTAAATTTGTACTTCAGTAATGCTTTTGGTTACAATGAATTGTGTATGTGTACCTTGGAAGTAAAATCTTATGCTGGTACAATACTGGAATGGCTCAAAAACTGGCAGAATTTGTTTCACTGTTTGCAGGAGGCCGTACTTGGCTGTTAAGCTGGTGCATCAGGGTGGTCTTGCAGAGTGTCTTCCAACAGAGCTTTGAGAGGAGGCAAATGACTAAGGCATGAGTATGTGTTGCAAAGTGTGTACATAGATCAGATCTGAAGGCTTTGCCTGCAGTTTAGGAAGGTAACTTGGGAAGGAAAATTTAAAAAAGCCCCGCTATCTTCACTTGCCCTTTTGATGTGTAACTAAGCACATTTTTGCTCTGGCTTCATCCCTGACATATGAACAATTTGCTTCACCAAAGGCAACTAACACAGGTATGAAGCTGTGGGGAACTGGAGGGATGGTGAGACCGGGAGCTGTGACCAGAGCTGCAGCTATTTACCATGGCTGTAGAGGTGAGAGGGAAGGGTGTCTGATCCTCCACAAAGCTCACTAAACAAGAGATCTGCGAGCCTTCAGTCTGCTAAGGAGCAGTTCTTTGCACATTCCCTTCAGTGGGCTGTCACATCGCTGTTCCCCTGAAGGAGCGCACTGTGCTCTCCGTGTTGGCTGTCCCGCGAAGGGCAGGGGCTGAATTGGTATCAAGCAGCAGCCTGTGCTGCCCTGGAGTGTGGTGCAGCCCTTGCACAGCTGCCAGCTGAGGGGGTGAGAAGCAGGGTGGCTGTACAGCAAGTGGGCTCCCTGTGACAAGTCACTTGCTGGAGGGAAGAGCAGTGGCAATTGGTCTGGCCATGGCTAGGGGCTAGCCTTGGGCCCAGGCCTTCTCTCTGTACTGCACTGCCTTTGCTGCATAGATGGACCAGGTGTTTGGAGCCAGCATGACTATCGCTGCCATGACATGATGGGGAGACTCTGGAGGGGCAGCACCTGAGGCATAATCAAATTAGCCATAGGAATTGATTTGTCTACAGCATATGTCCTCTCCCAGCACGTTGCAGCATCAGCCTGTATGAGAAGGACACTAGAAGAGCACATCTGTGAGTGACTGGATTTTTATTCCCATTCTCAAAGTGATGGCCTTAGTACAGTTCTGCAGCAGATGGCCCTGACTGCTTACATGCAACCTGCTCTCCTGTATCTCCTCTTTCCTTCTTTAGGACACTCTTGTTAAAAGAGGCAAAACCCCTGAGCTCCAAATCTGCTGTACAACTGATAGCTGGAAGAAACCTGCAAGGAGGCACAGTCCATGGAGAGGCACCTAGGGAGAGATCACTGCTAGGACTGCCTGTTTGTGCTGGCTGCCAGGTGTTCATCATTGCCTGCAGGGTTTGGCATGTCTGCCCTGTGCACAGGGGGAGACCATGGCATCGTGCAGAGCTAGCCAAGCTGTCGTCTCTGATGCTGCACAATTGAGATGTGCTGAGGGTAGAGCGTGCACACAAATACACAAGTCTAGTGCCAAAATACCTTTTAACATATTGTGCCAGGTCCTCAGTTAGAATAAAGCTCTGGAGTCTTGCTGAGGCCAGAGTCTAGACTTGCATGGTGCTGGGCTGTGGCAGGGAAGATGCATTTGTCTGCCAGTCCTGTTCCAGCTGGTGAGCGATGCTCACTCTGGTTGGAAGTCACCTTGGAGGGAAGCTTTGACTGCTCACAATGCTAGGCAAGCAGGAGTATCCTGCTTAAAAATTATTGTTCTTGATACTGCTCTGATTAAGAGCTGTTTTTCTGCATAAAGCCATGTGGGCTGAGAGCCTGCAGTTGGAGCTCAGTATTGATAAATGGTACATTTGCTTCACGGATATGCGAGGTTTAATTCCATTCTTGTTCAGTCAACAGTGGTCCCATCTTAATAAAAGAGCACTAGTTAGTGATTTTTGTCCAGTTCCCCCCCTCTGCTGTTGGCTAAGCAGTTTTTAGCATGAGCTTGTAGAAGATAGCGCTTGCCTTAAGGACCTTTCTGCCCCGCAGGCATCATGATTGCAGGAGCTGCAAGTGTGCAGGAGATGACCCTGGAGACATGCAGTCGTTCTGACATTTACATAATGTTTCTTGCTCAAAGGGACCCTATTTTCTCCCTAAAGTTAAGGCTAAACTTAGTACAGGGCTTCACGTCACCTTGAGGAAAACAGGGCATGGCAAATTTACATACTAATTGGCTGAGGGTAGGTCTCTTTGGGGGGCAATTATACATGATATTGGTGTGTCTTTTAGAGCAAGATGAACTGTGGGCACTCGTCCTACACCATCCCCTCTGCATCTGACTTTTACTGGACCTAGCACAGTCCTGTGTCTGGGAGGGAGGTGAAATGCTGTTTGGGACAGATTTTTGCTCAGAACCCATATCTTAAAGAACCCCATCCCTTCCTTTTTTGTCCTTTGATGTATTTGCATTTTTAAACAGGGATAGCTGGCTTGGGGAAAAATATGTTGTTTTGGCTGCACAAAGGAAGATGAGCCTTCGGCCCTGTCCCCCTTAGGTGGGAAGCAGCAGCACCAGCCTGAGAACAGCCCTTGTCAGCCCTCTGAGTAGACACAGGATGTCACTGTGATGAAGGTCATTTGCAAAAACTGGGCAAAACCCCTGAAAGATACGGTCTGGAAAGGTACTCACCATTAAGAAATATGGAATAGGGCTGGAGAACTGGGTGGGTATGATTTCAGTTTCTGAACAGGGGCCAAACCACACTGATCCAGATGAGTGTGGAAACCTGATGTAAATCACATTGCTTAGAGACTCTGCACTATGGGCAATTGTAGCAGTAGTAGGTTTAAGTAGTAGGTCTAGGCATAGTTTTAAAGGTTTATTATTAGAAAGTGTGCTCTATAATTCTCAAACTGCTGCTGAAAACAAGAAAGCCAGTTCACACTTGGAGCTATTTCAGCCTTTGTTCTTAAGGAGAGAATGTATTATTTCTGCATTAATGAATGAAGTGTTAGCAACCATCTAAGTTAGAAGTAATTCTTATAGTAGAGAGTTAATTTTACTTTTCTCTTTGTTTATATGCAATGTTTTCATTGTAATTTCCCCCATTACTTAAATACATCATACATCAGGATTTTATTATGCAGGAGGCTTGTAAATGTGCATGTTTATATACTGCATAGACAATTATGGAAATATGGCACTTGTATAAAATCTAAGTGAATGTAAATGAATTATAGAAAAGATTTCTAAACACCTGAGCTCACTGAAGAAAGGGAGGGAATCATCACCTTAGGAAAGCTTAACGAGATCTTAGTAACATTTATGTCAGTCCCACCTTTTGGGAGAAGCCTAAAGCTTTGGGCCTACTGGGCAAAAAGCTGTGCTGATTTATGCCAGCTAGAGCCCAGTGTTACATGCCACGATTTATTTTTTCAGACTGAACTTGTGCGTTCTTGCTATGACATTGACATTCTTTGCTGTAGCTGTTGCTGTGAGAGGGTGGACTATGGGAGGCTGGAAAGTGCGGCTTCTCTCACGCTCTTCCCAGTCCCAGGGAGTTCACACTAAGCAGTTAGTGCCAATCACTCTGCAGGCAGTGCTGTAGATTAAAGGCTTCATTAACTCCAGTGTATCACTCGAGTCACACGCGTCTGTTGTTCAAAGTGTGCTTTGTGCATTAAGATTATGAGTCCAGTTCAGAAGTCTGTACTTACTCAGAATTCCTCTGAAAGGACAGAGATGCATTTCTTCCGTTCTCTTTCTTCCCGTTCAGATATGTATATCCAAAATATGCTGTGTGCGACAGAAGAGCCAGTTATCTTCTCTGTGGATAACTTCATAGCACCGAGGAAATAATAACCCCAATGAAATTAGACTCATAAAAAGATGGCATCTGGAACCCATCTTCTGCTAGTGTGTGGAAACTCTTGAACAGCAACAAGATTATTAGTTATATAACTCCCTTCCCTCCTGGAGGCCCAAGTGGCTATTATATTAACACTTAATTTTTCTATTGCCCTTCATGTCACACAATCACCAATAGATTTGTCATTACAATAGAGATGTAGGTTTTGCTTACTGCAACATGCCCAAAATGGTGATGGTAATTGCTTCTTCTAGCCCGCTTGTGCCCTTCCTATGTCTATTTTTTTATACTGCCATAATCTAAATAGAATTTAAGCTAATGCAGGTTTCTGTATGACAAGTGTGTCAATCTAGAGCATCCCTCCATGTAGTGCTAAATGTATCCAGGTGACATGGTGCAGAAAACTGTATCTAGGAGTTTACACATCACCAGAGCTGAAAGGCAGTAGATGAGCTGAGCAAGAGCTTTCCTGAAGATTTCAAACATGCTGGGGTAGGAAGGATTTCAGATACACACAGAGCCTGGGGGCTCACACAGCTCTGACTCAAGAGTTGCACAGGTGCAATTTCACTCTGGGTAAGTGCAACTTGTGCCTCTTCTTGCGTTAGGTTAATGTTGCAGGCTGACTCTTGTGTTGCAAATCTGCCTGTTAATGAGGATGGTGGCTGTTTTGATTCACCTTGCTGTGATCCTGTGGAAATGCCCTGTTTCTACCAGCAGGCTAGTCTTCTCCCAAAAACTAATTCCTGTAGATTACCGTAAGACATGCTCTTTCCTAAACTGAGGGAAGATGAGACAAGTCGTGTTACTGAACTGGTTTTGGGACTTCGATCAAGTTTGAATGAATGGTGAAGTTTCATTTTTTGCTCCTCACCAGAGACCAGCTTTGGAGACAGATATGGCAACAGTTGGCATCAGGCATCAAATTTCCAATTATGTATCAAAATGAGTGCATTTCTGCTAGTTGCAAGTAGCCTCTGATTGAATTATTGTTTGAGATTGAAGGAAGTTTGACATTAAGCCAGCTGCTCATTTTTCAGCACATACTAGACACACCAGGCAGATCCTCAGACTTACATGTCTCCCACGGCTTCAGCAGAACTGGGCTGACACCCTGGCTTGGCTACTGTACCCGTATTTGCTTGTGTCTTTTGGTTTTGTCACAGCATGAATACAGTGCTGATGTGTTCCATTGCAAGAGGAACTAAACAAGTTTTATGGCTTTTCTCTGCAACCCTGATACAAAAGGAATGTGATGACAATGTTATCACTGAATTGATGTTTATGAAATTTCCACTCGTCTTGGTTGCATCTGTGGACTTGCACCCTCAATATAAAGGGCATAACACTGGTAAGCAGCTGCACATTTATTTGTGAGTGTGGTCTGCATTTTTGTATGCAGCCTGATTACAGAAGGGGTTTTGCAAGTGAAAACCTTGATATATTAGTTTGAATCCTGGGAGTGCAGAGGTTAGTGTTTGCACCTGCCCACCCCACATCTGTTGAGATTGGCTGGGAAGGTCCAATTGACCTTCATGTAAGTTGTGTCTGATACCGACTTGTTCAGGTCTTGACATCTTGACACAAGAATAGATTTTGGAAATCAAATCTGCGACTCTGCTGTCATCCTTTGACCTTACACCCTCCTGTCTCTTAAGCAT